TCTTCTCGTTGTATTCACTTTGTTTTCTTCTGTTCTTTGAGATTGGATTTTTAGGGTATGGTCTAGATCTGGTATTTAAGTAGACTTTATACTCTTCTTCTTCTTCTGTTTCATACTCATATTCGTCATTATAATATTGGTCGGCTAGGTGAACATCCCTAGGTTCTTCAAATTGTGTGTTTCAGTTAGACCTTAGTTGCTGAGGTTGAAGACATTCCCTACTAAAGTGTCTGACTTTTCCACAATTAAAGCATGATAGATTTGTTTGTTGTGGTCTTCTTTGGCTGTTAGCGAAATTTCTATTGTTGTTAAAATTTCTTTCGTTAGGGAAATTTTATTCATTCTTGAAATTTCTCTCATTATTAAAATTTCTTCTCCTTGGAGACGCTTGGAGTTGAGCTAACAAGGCAGTTATTAAATTAGCATAATTGAGAGACAACTGCTCTATTCGTTTCATTAATTCATCAACTTTATTATTAGCAAAGGTAGTTTTTTGGATGGTAGGAGTAGTACTAGTAGTTGCATTAATGTTCTTAGGCATTCTACCTGTTGCAAAGTTGTAACCGACTTCGATGGTTCTTGCTGAGTTTATCGCAACATCTAGATCAGCTAGGTTTTGGGAATATACAAGTGGAGTGTAGGCTGGATTGAGTCCCATAAGGAACATTCTTTTCTTTTATACATTATCTGTCATTTCGATTCTATTTACTAATTTCTTGAACTTATTAGCATAGGAGTCAACAGATTCTTCAGTTTGTTGTCGAAGTACTGATAGCTCTATGTTCTATTGATTTTTCTTGGTTTTATTTATAAAGCGTGTTCTGAAGAGATCCATAAAATTATTTCCAGCATTGGTTGTTGTAATCCAATTATCTCTAATAAGTTCAGAAATTCCATCGAACCAGTCTGCTGCTTCTCCTTTCATATGTCCTCCAGTAATGGCTTTTTTTTAGCGTCTGTAATCCATCAGTTGGTAATTAATGCTCGTTTAAAGGAAGTAAGCCATTCGCTTGGGTCTTCATTCTCATTTCCATGAAAATAGTCAACCTTAACAGTATGTCCTTCTCCTCTTAGTCGTGCTCCATCTGCTCCGAAGATTCCTTCTAAAGCTGCTCTTATCTGATCTCCTATTGCTGCTATTATTTCTAGTGATTCAGGTGGTGGGGTTCCCTCGGTTGAATTAGATAAACTATTAGCAGAGGGGATTGTTGAGGCAAGTATTTGGTGTAGTAATTGTCTGTCTCTTTGTAGTTGTAGTAAATCTTGATCTAATATCTCAATGTAAACACTTTTCGAGATAGATAATGTAACTTGTCTCTCAAAACAGTTGGTATTGAATGTTACGCCTTAAAAATATAGATATAAAATATCAAATGAAAATGGTGTGACTCAGTAGTGGATACTAGAAAGTATTGTTACAATAATACTTTTTAATCGTTCATCACGATATTCTAATTCAGAAGTATTGTATAGATTTTTAAATAAATTAAATGCAATAGTAGTTCTTGCTGAATAAGTGTCAGCTTGATGTTCAAAGTTAAATCAAACCCAAAAGTATATGAAACTATCTGTAAGGTTGTTATTTGAGGGTGGGGGATAACACCAAAAGCAAGTGTAATCTATGTTTAAACTAGTATTAGAATAGTGCCTAATAATATGCTTAGTTGTATTACGTTCAACTTCTTCAAAATTTATACACCTCGCTAGTTCGTCAGCGATTCGTTGTGTATATTATTAACAAAGAATAGCCTAGTAGGAATCACCACTTGTTAAGCTTAAACTATTCGTCGTTAAGTTAACAAAGATTATTTGCTAGCATGGAGTTTAAGTACGTCTAAACTATGGAAAAAATAAACACGAATAGTTAAATTGAAGGGTTAGATCATCTTTATTGATATAGATTTAAAGAAGAATGAATTGTTTTATGAGCAAAGGTAAGTTTTAGGTATAAATGTTATTGTTTATTAGAGAATTGGTAGTAACTCTACTATTTAGCAGACCAAAAATACAGAGTATTTATACAAAATAAAGTAATAGTAAATAAAATATGATAAATATGATAAATATAATAAATGTAATAAATATAACTAATCTATCTAAACTAACAAATATAATATATATAACAAATATAATAAATCTGATAGATCAGTCAAATATGACCAATATGTCATATTTGTCAGATTTGTCTAATTTGTCATATCGGTCAGATCGGCCAACCAATCCAAATCATATGATTGGCTATAGTTAATTGGTACAGTATGGATCACGCCTTCAACATCTACTTATTCTAATGCCTGTAGTATTTAGATATGATTAAAATTGATTGATAAATTAATCAATCAGATTTATATATATAGAAGCTTGTCAATAGAAAAGGATGATATCTAAAAAAAATTAGAATTATACTTCATATGCTAAATATGATTTTTAGTAAAATAAGTTCAGACTTAACATTAATTCATAAAAGATTTTTTTGGATTTTCACCCTTTCTATTAACAAGCTTCCATATATTAATACATTTATACCCACATAAGTTCATTTACAATGAAATTCTTATGAAAATTATACAATTTTATGTATTGATCAATATTTGAACCATGACATATTATTGTATAATAAAACTTTAGTTTATAGAAAACTCGCAGATTAACTACGAGCTAGGATATTACTTCCTTAGTATTACCTTATTAATTGATTAGACTCAATATTATTTTTAGTGCAATTTTTTATTGGCTTATTATATTTATTATGATGTAACTATTTTTTGATTATCAATTACTCAAAATCAATTTACTAGTCTTATAACTTACTTTTAATAGCTCAACTCTTATATTCTTTACTTTATTAATATATATTTCATATTGATATATTTTATATAAATATCCTATATTTTTGCCTTGATAAAATGGCAGAATCATTACAAATCTCTAATAAATCAACACCATTTATCTCTGAAACTTATCTTTGTTCACTATAATTCATTCTTCTTTAAATATATATCAATAAAGATGATCTGATCCTTCAATATAATTAATTCATGTTTATTTCTTTCATAGTTTAGACATAATTAAACTTCCTATTAGCAAATATGTTCTGTTAACTTAATGACACTTAATAACGTGTATTAATTTATCTCAAAAATAAGAAGTTCAAATTTTGATATTTTAAAAATAATATATTTGTTTAATTTTAATTATTAATATTAAGAAAATAAATTTAATATATTTTTAAAACTTTATCTGAAATCTATAATTAATAATATTTATGGATTATTATTACGTATCTCAGCTTACAGTATATTATTCAAATTAAATGAATTTTTAAAGGTGTATTAAAATTTGATCTAATTGTAATTGGCAAGTCTTGCGTTTACCAAAAACTTCAATATTTTAGAAGAAATGAAAAAGAAATTGAAATATAAGCTCGCTGATATTCAGAACAAAATAATTTTGATATTAGTGTGTCAGTTATAATGAAGCATGCCTTTTTAATGGTACAACCATTGTTGGATAAACAATTTAAATGTATCAGAAAAATAAATTATTAGAGGTTAATGATTATTCAAGAAGAAAATATTTTACTTGATGATAATATCGGTGAAATATACCTAATCAACTTCGGGATGGCAAATCAGCTTACTTGATGCAAAGAACAAAAAAAGTGTTTCGATGAATGAATGTCTCGTTTATTGAAACTTTGTGGTGTCAAATTTAGTACAAAAATACAAAAAGATGAAACTAGAAAAAGATATCCATAATTCCAAATAATCGAACCTTAAAAATAGCGAAAAAAAAGAAATGAACTTACCAACAATGGAACTTTTTGAATGATGTATTACCACTTTTTATTAGAATCACCTGTTCTTGAAGAATATAAAGTTGAATACGATACCTTCTTGGTAGATGATTTTTTATGATTGTCCGCGGGCACAAAATCGTTACTCCATAAATAAAATTGATTAGAATAGATTAATATAATCTTAAAATTGAAACTTGAGAAACAATTAATGTGATATAATAAATCCTAATTTCGATCTAATTTTTTGAATCGATTTCAATTCCTGATGGATAAAACCTGAGAAATTTCATACAACTTTTTAAGTTTGAGCTTTCGCAACAATAAATTGTTGTTAAATATTTAAATTGAAAAATATTATTACGGAAATTAATTATTAATATAATTGTTCCATCGTGTTCTAATAGTTCTGGGGAATTGTGTCCCAATTTTGTCTAGTTTAATTTTAAGAGTTTATTAAGTCGTAGGCCAAATCCCCTGGCCAAATTGTCTTCCGCCCATTATGTTTCGTGGACAAAAAGGCTCCTGGACAATTGGTCCTTGCTGTGTTTTAAGTATGAATAGAAGAATAACATGTTCCTAAGAAAATAATAGTATATATTTAGTTAGTAATTTCCCTTTTATTGTAACGTTAACGTATATTATAGAGAGCCGACATTGGGGCAATACTTTATTTAAATTCCGTCGTTGTTATTAAAATCCATCTATTCAATCAAACCTTCTGCTTAACTAATAAACGTCTCGAACAACGTGCAATAATATTCATCCTTAACTAATCCAAATACTTCAGTACTTAATCCCGACACCTTCAAGCTCCAAAAAATCCATTATCCTACTTTTTGCTTTACTCAGATGGTCTGATTCAAAAGACTTTGACAAGTATATTTTCAACAGCCTACTGAAAACACGTGATAAAAAATTAATTTAGTGCAAAAAGATTATTAAAAAAAAAAATTTAATATTTTAGTACGTGCCGCATTGTTCGTCATTGATCTGACTAAATATCTTTTTGACCATTCCTCTCCAGTTCCCTGGCTGCTGTTCCTCTTAACAATAGTCCATAATTTTCTATGAAACTATTGGAATGTCGGTCTATAACGGCTGGGCAAATTTTTGCATGAAATCTTAGTTTTGCAGTTTGATATCATGTTAGAGAAGAAAATTGTTACACAGCTTCTTCTTCATCTCAGTAAGATGTTTCCTTATGGCTCAACCGATCATGGAAATAGTAAAGTCTGCTTTTGTCCCGGTTGAAAAGCCACCTCCATGCTTTAATCATTTTCAGCCCTTGTGCAACGTTGTAGGCATTGGGATTGCAATTGATGAAGCAAAGGTGAATAAAAATGCTGCAACATCGTAGTATTGGACACATTCAAACACTTTGTGATAATTTTTATGCCAATTTTCTAGAAAAAATAGTTGATTTCTTCTGTCGATGAGTTTTGAATCCTCTGAGAAGATATACGACCAAAAGTTTTTAGTCATATTAACGTTGAATGGGTTGGACCTGTTCAATCTTATTGTTATTCTTCATTTTGTCACTGAATTAAAAGATTTCCAAGGTCACACAGTATGCCTATACCTAACTTCTTCTCCCGGAAACCTCGTAGAGGTGCAAGCCTTATTCATGTTAAAAAATATATTTTTGATAGATTATCAGTATGTCAAACAATGACCAAGATTATATAATCCAAATCAAAAAGATTACGTGTAGATATAGCACCACCGGTCTATAATTACACGCTTTAACTATAGATAGACAAGAAACTGGTTATTATGATACCTGATAACTCAGAACGATTCATTAAACTTGTTAATCAAGGTTATTTGGCCATAGGCAAAATTATTAAACTCCAACTAGTCTTCGGCGAACCAACTTGGAAACCTTTAGGTAAAAGTCATCATTGTCTATTATATTATATATAGAAAAAATATCTAAGTGTCAAGTAATTAATAAGTAAATAAAAAATACAAAAAGAAAAGGCTTCGGTCCATGGGAAGTTGGAAGAAGAAAATTATTGTAATAAGGGTTTAAACGTTTGATTTGTAGCATTTTCACATGATATTTTCGATCTCAATTTACCAACAACATATAGCGTAAAAATAAACATATTTACCTTAAAGCGTTAGTCATTTATCAAAAACTAGAACTTAGATGATCTTCACATATTAAAAAGTTTACATTGTAATCACCAAAATAGTTTTACAAGCATGCAGCTTATCGGCCCAAATTGCGAAACGATATGAAATATCCGTTTAAATTACTATGCTAATATAACGAGGTGATTTTTTCGGAGACTGAGATACTTTTATTGAGAACTTGAACTAAAAACTGGCTTCCTTCAATCTATGAAAACTCAATGAATTTAGGTAAATGAAGATCTGTGTTTAATCATCTGAAAATAAGAAAATGAATTATATTACTATTATATTTGTGGCCAATTATTTTTTTTTTAATCCCAATATTTTTGAAAATATCGCAATAATTCAGTAATTGAAACTTTACCGTATTTTATCAAGTGATTATATTTGATTGAATCTTGAGGCTGATGACTTTTTTAAAAAAAAAAATTGAAGTTCTTTATATACTGCAAAAAATAATAAACCATTTAACGTGGGACCAGACCTATGAAGTCCGTCCAGTTTAAAGTCTTTTGAACCATAGGACTGCAGTCATATATAAATTGGGACTTACAGTCTTAGGACTCGGTTCATATAAAATGTGACTTGCGTCCTAAAACTATAGTCAATATTACAAAATAAAAGTCAAAGAAGAATGATATTATTCGTTCAAATAGAGCGATGACGAATCATACAAGAAGAACGATGATAAAATCATAAAGGGTCAATCTCCTTGAATGATGATATAGTGATAATTTTTTTTTTTTGAACGATAATGTCTCGTTCAATTAGAACGATCAAAAATCGTCCTTGAACGATATGTATCATTCAATTAAAACGTTGAACAAATCGAGTATCCTTTCAATTAGTATGATGAAAAGATCATTCTCCACATGCGATGGAAAAATAAAAAATAAACATTAAAGATTATATAATATGATATTTAAATTGCTTTCAATTCTTTGTTAGATATTTTGCATGTTTTTTTTATATTTACAGTATCTCACTCCCGGAAACTTAGAAACAATGAATCAATAAAAATTACTAGCAGGGAATAAACAATCCGATTTCCACAAAATCAAAATCAAAATCAAAATCGGAACGCTTACTGAAGGCTTGAATTTTAGATAGGTTGTGCGAAGCGTCTCAACCTGAAAAAATAGTGAGAAGTCACGTCCTGTGGAATTCACTCGTTATCGTATTACTCCTTTGAAATAGGCTTTGCGATAAAAGCGAAATTTCTTAGGTCATTGCATAAATCTTTAAATAAAAAAAAAAGTTTTCCGCCCTTATAAAAATTTTTTTTCATGAATATTTCCATATATTTCCATTATTTCTTCGTGGCTTCTGTAAAAATTCTGTGAAAATGAGCTTTTCACGGAATGAGATGAAATCTTCCGTGATTTAAGATTATAAATTTCGTGAAAATGAGCCCTACACGGAAAAAACATGAAAAACAAAACACGGAACAACTTATTTTATAGGGCGCGATTTCGATTCCATCCAAACGCTTTTTTGCATATATAATAAAAAAGTAAAGTTCGATGGCAAACTTTCATTTTTTGGAAACATAAGGAATATAGGGAAGTGGATAAAGATTGCAAGAAAACATATGATGATGCCATCATCCTAAGCCACTCATACACTATAATCTTTTTATAAACACCAGATTTCCGAAATAAATTATCCTATCATAAATCTCCCAAAGTTTCGTCTATCTTTACCATTCGGTTCCGCAAGAGAATTAATTAAATTCGAACCTATAGCATAAAATTTCGGAGATTAGCGAGTACTGAGAAAAGGAACCCAATTGTATAAAAAAAATATTTTAAAATAATTAAAGTGCTATAAAAGTTACATTTAATTCACTTGAGAAATAAATTTTTGAAAATAATTTTAATTCGGTCCCTTTCCCGCACTCACCCTATATGCTCAAAGTTTCGATAGAAATAAACGATATTCTTCACAATACCATGTAATTATTATTTCCAGGCATGTAATATATTATTTCTGGGCTAATTTAGAACATAAAAAAGTAATTACGTAAAGACTTAAAACTAAAATTGCCAAAGAATGACACCAATTAAATCAAAAAAAGAAACTTAAATTTTATATATAATTCTTTCCACGAAATTTTTTCGATAAAATTCTATAAAGTTCGTAAATTTAATGTTAATAATAAAAGTGGTGAAAGTTAATAAGTCATACATTTCATTTTAAATTAAGCAGCAAGTAGAATATATTACAAATAACTTTATGGATTTAAACTTCGAAAAAGGCCATACTGTTTTAGAATATAAAAAAAACATACATTCCATACATACCGTAGAAAACCAATTCGATATACTGCGGCAGGCTTTGTCTTTGTTCACAAAATTGACACTGCACCATATAGCATATGATCAAACATACAATTGAGTCATTAATCAGGGCATAATATTATAATTTATAGTGGTCGTATTTGGGAATAACTTTTGAAAACTATGCCAACAAAACTATCACGAAAATTTTATCAACGATCACTCTTTAAATTTGCAATAAAAAACTCTTTATTTTAATAAATAGTTGATATTTATAAATATTATATTCAAATGAAATTTTGCAAGATGGATTCTATAAAAGGAAATATTCGTCAAATTCGGTTTGTTTTGTCCCCAAAATTTGTTGTAGCAGCACTCCTCATATATATTAGTTCGGCGAACCCTCTTTACCCTTCGTTCCTACCTTGAGTAAGGAGGTATGAACGAAGGTAAAGGTGGCAAAACGAACGAAAGAGAAATTGGAAGTGAAAATATATGTACTTATACTATTTATTACCTGTAATTTTAAATGAGAATAAAAATTTATATTTTCAAATTAGAAAGTCTGAACTCTTTATTGCCGTATAAATATAAAGTATTTTTTACAAGTGGTTATGTCATTAAGAAAATGAGCCATAGAACGAAGAGGACATCGATGCACATACTGTAAGTATAAAAAAGAGAAATTTCGCAAATTTTATAAAATAAAGACGATGTGCATTTTTTTTTATAACTTTACGAAATTTTTTTTTTAAAAAAAAGTTCATTTTTTTATGACGGATATATGAATGCAAAATCATTGTCTTTTAGATTTTCGAACTAAATATTCCGTATCGCCAAAAAAAAAAAAAATAAAACGCCATCTCATTTGATTTTTGCATATTGAACAAATTGGGTTAGATCAACACAAACCATCGAAATATCGAGATAAACGTTCTTGGATATCTTCGACGGGAGTTAAAAAGTGGTGTCCCATAAACGGAATTCGAAAGTACGAGATTGCCAACGTTGATTCAGTGGATTATTTAAATAAATATACATCATAGTTTACCTAATTCAAAACAACAACTTACCTTTTTTAAAAAGATATAAATGAACTTTACAATAGTAAAAATTTCCTACAACAAACCGCAGTAGATTTATTAGATAACTTATGAAGCAAATTGCTGATAAAAAATAATATGTTCAGTCGCGATTTTTAAAAAAAATGGCAGTGATTATATAAGTTTCTGTAAAAAAATAATCGTTGCTATGATTCAATATGATGAATTAGATACATCGTTTTTCTAAATTTTGAAAGATTTAGTGTGATTTTACCGATATATAAATGTTTTTTGATATTATAGGTCTGCTTTTTTTCTTCAATAAAAATAAAAATACTAAGATTTTTTATCTTTACTTAGAAAATGTCGGACCTAGCTAATACGATTCGATTCCCGGTTTACTTTATTTCTTTAAAATATTTCTTGTATTGCCTTGTTTCTAATTTTTACGGAAAGTATTAAATTTGTCAAATTCCTTGCTTTTGCATTATGCGCTGTAAGATTAATTCGGCGGGATAATTTTAAATCGAAGAGACATTATCTTAATTTCGTTAAGTTTTTCTAAATATAATATATTTAATAAATATTTATTTCTTCGATTTATTTCCCCTAGAATCGAGAAAACACAAAGATAAAAAATAGTCTTCTTGATATGTATTAAGTTACAATACTTACCAATAAAATTTAACCGACTTTAATATATACATTTTCTCGGAACTTTTCAGGAGGAGTCCTACTTGAGCCAATTTATTCACTGAACTGGTGAAATTGGTGAATTAGAACTCCGTGAAGTTTAATTTGTAAAGACATGTTTAAGCAAATGTTGTCAATGTTGTCGCTTAATAAACAAATCAATAATTTAGTTATTTATTTTTTATTATTTATATTTTAAAATGTCAGGAAATTTATATATTTATTATTTATATAAAAAGATTTATTTGCTTCCTTTATTATACTTATATGGCATTATATAAAATAATTGCTGGTTTTGGAATTTAATTGTTTAAAACACGGCGTAATTCTTCGTAGGTATACGGAGAGTACTATGTATATTAAAAAATATTCACCCTCAATTTTTTTTTTAAAAAAAACTACATATGATAAATGAAATGGCTAGGCTATCAGTATTTGGAATTTTAACCGAAAATGTCGAAAGATGAAGTTTGGTTAACTACTGTCCTTTCAACCCATATTCAATATTTAGACTTTGTAGAATCGCGAATACTTTACTTTTCTGATACATCAACAGATTTTGATTGTGTTGCTCGTGACAATTAGCCGATTTATTTATACATGTATGGTTTTTCCATAAAATCATGTAAATAATTTGGTATATAGCAAACCTGTTTAGTATGATTTTGAATGGATGTTTTCTTTTTTATTCACGTATACTATTAGAAACCAATAGAAGCCACACAAGTATGGAATTGATCTTATTAAAAACACATCATACTTACCTAAAATAAAAAAACTATAAGATTAAAAAAACATTTCATACATCACCATACTATATTAAAAAACCTACTTTAACAAGAGAAATATAACACAAGCATTTGATCATATATATATCGATAATTTATTTTTTTATGAGATTTGATCATGTCCATAAGAAACTTCTTTTGATTATTTAGCTTACATGACCTTTGATTTTATAAGATCGATCAAGAAAAAGTCCTAATTAAAACGTAACTATTCTGACTATTCTGACCATATTTCAAACAACCTTTTGTTTATGAATATAAAGTTTCAAATTATATACTTATAAGACAAACGGAATCCATAAAAACGTATAAAATGTCATAGCCGACATTTCTGGCAATTTTATGCCTTGTTCAAGAAAATGAAACTTACACTTGGAAAGAATAATGATTTCAATTAAAAGGAGATTTTAAGTACGAAAAACAAAAGACTTTACGACATTGGATTTGATAAAATCACACTATGAAATTTAAAGATATATCTTTATTAGATACGAGCTGAAAATATCACACCGCCAAGAGGAAATTCACAATTATCTTACAATAAGAAATCATGATTGGATGTTTTGCCACGAAATACATGTAACGGAAGTTATCTGTTGTAAATTACTTATAATTATCACATGTGGCCGTGTAATTATTGTAGAAATACCCGTTAACACACGAAAAAAGATTAGGAAGTAAGTTAGAACTGTCGAAATTTATTCCTTAAGAAGTATCTAAATTATCTTATAGGATCTTCAGTAGAAATACCGTATTAAAATTTTCACCATTAATTTAAAATAAATATATAATTAAATATAGGTAAATTTTTAATATATTTAAAAATATCTTTAAATATAAAAATAGAAAATTTATTACTCATCAAATATGGATCGTATGCTATTAAAATTAGGTTATGAGACATACATGTATATGATTCGAACATGAGTTTAATAGCCTACCTCCCAAATAATCTTAAATCTAAGAAAAAAAATTCGATATCTAATTAATAATACTTACATTTATTATAAAATATTTTAATTAATATAAATTATATATTATGTTCAAATAATAAAAATTTTTTTAAATTTTATAATTATATTTGAAGAGAATGTTATACAAACTTGAGATTTTTAATTGACATTTTAATTTTTAATGTTATTAGTTTAAAATGCTTAATTTATTAATAATCCCGAATTCTTTACAAAAAAAATTTAAAATTCTATCTTTTTTTTATACTATTAAAGATACACGAGAATTTACGATTCACAATAACGCTTCGATAATTAATTAATTACTAAAATACTATCAACAGAATACAAATCATGCAAATCGAAGCCCACATCAAAAGATCGATTAAATGTATAAAAGGAGCACATTCAGGCAAGAGACCTTCCTTAATAAACGTAGACAACTAGACAATGATAATAACATGACATGAAGAAAAAATATTATATGTATAATAAACTTCTACATGAAGATTTCCCTTTAATTATCAAAACCATCTTTTTCTTTTAATTTAATATCCGAGCATTGATTTTCTATAATATTAGGAGTTTGCAAACCATCTGTCGTTGTTTCTTCCCCTTCGTTAAAATCGCCTTGAGGTTTATAATCTTCTATACTGTTGGCAACATCATCCCAAAATTTTTTTAAAGCTGCTTCATTATTACAAAAATTTTGGAATTCCATTAATAACTGATCAGGATTATGAGCAAAATTATAAGGGTTTTTATTGGCAGATAAAGTGGACGACGTATGAGTAGTATATAATCTATTGTTAATCCATAGGAATCCTTCTCCGGGATCACAGATTTGTATAAAAGCGACACCAGACCTATGAATGTATTGAGAATATTTATAAGGAGTTTTATGATAAGAATAAATGATTTCAACTTCTTTTGGAAATCGATTATCAGCTTCAACATCCAATATAAATTTAAAATGTTTAACTAATTGAATTTCAAAGTATAAATTAGGATTAATTTCAGGGCTTAATTTCTTTCCCAATTTTTCTAATGTAGGCGGTAAAACCGATAATTTTATTGATGTTGGGGATTGAAATGGATTATTATCTGTTAAACTCATCGCTTGTTCAACGGGTGCTTCAACCAATTTCAACCCATACTTGTCAGCATTTCTGCTCCATTGTTGTAACAATTCCTCAATAAATCTTGCTGTACATCCGAGCCAATTTAATTGGAAATGATAACAATTTTCCACATTATAAATAACGTCATAATGTAATATTGCCGTTTCTCTTCTATCACTCTTCTTTGCCGGATCAATATCAATGCGCATGGATTTTGTGAATTCAATTTTTGGTGGTTTTCTTAATTGGTTTGAAGTGGTGGCAGTGGTTTCTTCGGCTTTTTCAGAATCTTTTGTCGTATTCTTTGTCTTGGAAGTTCCAAACCATCCTTTAGTATGTCTTCTAGGTGCGTATTCTTCTTTAATTTGATAAAAATAATATCCATCTAAAAATCGATGCCTCCTTGTACAATGTTCATATAATCCTCTTTCTAATAGATCATTACCGAATGCAACAGCGTCAGCTCGAGTCTCAATATCCGGAAATTTATTTAATAACCAATCAACAAATTCGTTTCCAATAATCGCATTTTGATATGACCTGAAACGCCATCGACGATCCTTAACGATCCCAGTTGCAGGATTCATCATTGCATGAGCAATCTTTTCTAACCTAGAATCTTTTGTAAGTCTCTCATCAGTTGGATGTACTGAAGTTCTTCTTGGATATAACCCTTCAGGAGTAATAACAAACATTGATAGATCATCGGTTGTAGGTTTTAATTGCGGAGTTTGACATTCTTTCTTGTCAACATTAGATTCCGATTTGTCATGCGAAAGGGCTTTATCAAAAAGTTCAAGGAATTTATAAACACCATTTATTCGAACTTCCTCCTCATCAAATTGTTCATTTCCCGTTTTTAATTGACTAACAGGAACAGTTTCCGTTGGAATTAAAATGAATCTTGTCCTCCAGAATTTTAAGGGTTCTAAAAGATCATCCTGATATCCACAAGCCAATTGGTCCACATAATTCCATTTATAATCTATATGTGGATAAATAAACTTAACATTTCTAGGTTCATAAGATTTTTGACATTTAGGCCAAACAACACAAGTATATGGAATTGGACTTGCTCCGTATTGAATCTTTCGTACGTATCTTTTGACCGCAATGACTAGCCCTGAAGGATCATAAGTCAATTGATGAACGTGACGTCCCATACTTAGATAATATTGATTTGATGTTGAGAATGATTGATCTTTCCTAATTTGTGATTTGGTATCAGGACTCCTTGAAAAGTGATCCGAAACATTGACGACATTTGAAGTGTTATCAACGTTGCAACTATTTGAAACGATCAATTGATATCCTTGAGATAAACGTTGGGAGATCATTTCGTTTAATAAAACTTCCATTTTTCTTTCTTCCGTGATATTATTATTATTTTCTTGAGTCATTGTGAAAACATCTGAATCAAGAGAGTTCGTATAAAAATGTTCTTCATATGCTCCAAGTTCATTAAATGGGGGACAATAATCGGTGGTCAAAGGAAGGCAAGCGGGAGTGCAAAGAGAATTCCATTTCATTGAATTTATTGATAATAGTTTTGGAAATACATGTTCCCACCTACGAAGGTGTATACTCATTCCATGACGATGTTGAGATTTTGAAGGATTACAAGGGTTAATCAAAGTCTGACGTGAGTTTTGACGAGAAAAAACAAATTTTCCCGGAGATTGTTTAAAAAAGTATTTTCCTTTTTCACTGCAATAAGATCCATCGACAAAACTTCCCTTTGGTGATTGTGGGGAATCTCTCTGGTAGTAACGTGATGAAGATTTTATTGATATAGGTTTGGTACTTGAAGTTAAAAAAGTACCTTCATCTTCTTCGATTGGCTCGCTATTCTTAAGATTTCCATCATAATAACTACCACCATTATCATGCGCAAATGTAATTTGTGAATGAGATCTTGAATATAATCCTTTGTTTATCATTGAATTCACCGGGGGATGTAAAGTATTTCCTTCCATCAAATTTAGATTGGTACCAGATAAACGATTCGATTTTAAAGGAAAAGAATTTCCTCTGGAAGGGGAATCAGTCAGTATGTTGGGGACGATTGTTTTTGGTAAACTTCTTGAGAAATCACTGGAACTGTTCTTTAAAGTCATGGAGATCAAATCTTCATGGGAACGACGTGAATCTATTAAACGGCCCATTAAAGAATCATGAGGTGTTTGTTGTTGAAGAGAAAATCCGATTTGTTTTGATTTTAAAGAACAAAAGATACTATCATCATAAGCATCATAACCGAATTCATTGTTAGAAGAAGAACAAGAAGAAGAAGAAGAAGAAGAAGAAGCGGAAAGGTGAGAACCATTTCCTAAATAAGGAATGATGATGGAGGAAATTTCATGTTCCATGATTCCCATCATTTGAATTTCATACATTTTACATCTCGTAGTAAATTTATCAGGCTTAAAAGGTTTATCTTGATATCTAGAATAAAAACTACAATCAACCCAATCAGGGGTTATATAATACGTATGATTTGCATCGATTGGATCTTCATCATAATCTAAAGGATCTCTTAATTCTAACTTTAAATCTTTTGATTGGGATAAGGAAGATTTACTACCAAATCTATTGTTCTGATCCCACCAATCTGGTGGAGGAGCTTTTGATAATTCTTGTGATTTAAATTCAAATAATGGAACGGAATGAAGAGGAATTTTTGAAAGGCAAACGAGGTCTAATCCTATGCCATTATCAATCATACGTTCAGTAGTTATTCGTAAAAGCTTCTTGTCAACTTCAAATCTACCACATCCCGGAGTTATTATTATGACCGATAATCCGGTACGTAACAAATCTCTATCAACATAATGCTTATCAAACGGATTTAATGCTAAATTGATAGCCTCTAATATATTTCCTTCAAAAGCATAAGAATTTTTTCCTAATAAAATCTTGATCGTTTCACCATTCGGAGTTTTCCTCTCTCTTAATAAAATATTTGGTTGATATTGTAAAAGTTCTTGCTTGAGTAATTTAAGTGCAAAACTCCAATCAGCTCTTGTCTCCCAATCAATGATAACCTTATAAAAATCTTTATACCATTTTCCTTCAAGGTTTTGTTCAAGCGTTTTATCATTTTTTAATTCGGGATCATTTGTTAAGTCTTCATATTCATAAAATGCTCTTGTAAATAATACTATGGATACCACATGATTTGTGCCCAAATCTTTCCAACGTTGAAATAATTCCGTAAAAAATCCATCAATCGCTTTCTCATAATATAATTCCCCATCTTCATCAAATTCCCACATTTCCCTTGACATTTGTATAAAGATAAATAACTTTGCCGATTCCGATCTAAATATTGGTTTGGTATTTTCTGTGATATACCCGCAAGATGATTGTACTCCTTTAACGAAAATTTTTTTCACCTGCGCTCTTATGCATCCCGCGAATTCTATCCTTTTTCCTATATATACACATGTATGATAAAGACTTTTGCTCAATCGCCACATATCACTTCTACCAATATATTGATCCCTAAATGAGAATTCTACATAATCTGCCGCTACTGATTCCACATCAACCTACATTCCTCGAAAAGAGGGGAGAATTAAAAATTGCAACTTACAATAATATGAAAGTGTATTTTACTTACCTCTCTTACAAGTACATTAGTCCTTGTCTTAAATCCGAAAACATTTGCAATATGACTTGCCAATGAAACCTAAAAGTTTTTATTTCATTTTATTTTTTTAAAAAAAGAAATTAAAAAATTATTAAATCTTAATTTTTTGAAATACTATTTCAAGTTTATCACTTTTTTTTTAAAAAAAAATAAATAATAATTACCTGTAAAATCGGTCTTTCTTTACCAATATTCTCTTTGTCAAAAGGACCAACTTTAACGATTAAATGCTTGGTAACATCAGACACTTCATTAGAATGATAAATTTCTAGTAATTGTCCAGGTTTTGTGCCGGGGACAAAATCGGGATTCAATATAAAATCTTGTTTAGGAAACAGATCCGGATGAACCCATAAATTCAACATTTTGGTCTTTTGTGGGTGAGAATTCGTATTGGTGTTGATCGTATACGTCGAAGAATATGATGTTGGAGTTGGTGTTGGGATGGGTGTCGGTGGTTTTTGATGTGTAATGACGATATTATTATTATTAGATGATGTGATATTTTCAGCGTCCATTTTCATAAGTTAATGATGTTTCTTATGCAGGATTCTTATAGAGTAACAAACAAATGGATTTAATACAATCAGTATTTTGAATTATTGAACGAAAAAGAAAATTTCAACTTTTTTAATGTACAATGATGATTTTTCAATGCATAATGATGAAAAGGTATATAAAACAAAAAAAAAATTGAACAGGATTGTAATTCAATCTAACTACAAATGGATGTTTACGAAAATGATCAAAAAAAATTTCCCCTTCAAAAAAAAATTAGGAGGAATATTTTTTTTTTTTCTTTTTGGATTAAAAAAGTTTTTTTTAATAGTGTTTCACAATCAATAAATACATAAGATCATGAGATAGTATTTCAAAGACCAAATTTTTTTTAACTATAAAATTCGTGTAACGATAGATATGAGCCCGGACCTATTCAAAAATATTAAAAAATAAATTCCCGGCATTTTATTTTATTTAACATAATTTATTATTTTTTTTCCTTTAATGACCCAAATCTCTGAAACTCCTTTATTAAATATTAGAAGAATCTCGTCTCTATACTTTTCAATTAAATGAGTTTTTTGTTTATTTTACAAATATGTAATTATCATGTGAAATCGCCAAAATACGTTATGATCACGTGTACAATAATGAATATTCCTACGCAAATTAAATATGTACGATTTCCAATTATAAAGGTATCTAAATATATCCGGAAGATTTATGTTTTTTATTAAGAACACGTATTCCGAATAGAATTTTCTATTCAAAACCCGTTTTTATCCTAAAAATTTATCTAAATCTAGATACATTTGTTACTAAAGTCCTCCTGAAGAGGAATTATAAAAAAACTAAAAAAATTTCAAGGGGTATAAGAAATTTATTGTGCGTTTTCAATTAATCACCAAATGAATATTTATAGTGAAAACCACACAAAATAATGAATTTTCGCATTACTTTAGCTTATTCGATTTTAAATTTCCAAATTTTCCTTTTTATTTCTCCTCTGCTCGAAAATTCCCGTATTCTTTCACCAAAATTCTTTTTATATGAATAATATCTTATATAAGATAATTCAAATTTTTCCAAAATTTAAGAAATTATTTCCTAATGTCCCTATTTTTGTTACATAATCTTTTTGAACATGATATTTTTTTTTAATTTGATTAATACTTTTTGATGGATTTTTTTTTTTCAAAAGATGTAAGATAAATAAATTCATACCTCGAAAAATAAAATGACCTCTTAATCCTACTATTGACTTTTTAACAAGATATTTAGCAAGGTCATTGTTCCGAATCCAACTTTTTTATATACGTAAATTAGTAATTACAAAAATGTAAAAAACAGTAAATTAGGATACTCACCATTAAAAATCTACGGTCCAATAATCACTCTTTTGAATCCATTTGGTCTTGTTGTAGCTAGATTAAAATAATTTTGTCAAGAAATGTAAAAAAATGAAATGAAACAAATTTCAGTGAATTCATACCATATTTTGACAATGAAGCTCGATATGCAGCAATTTTGCCATAATTTGCTAAAATAAAAAAAATTTTTTTTAAAAAATTGTTTGACAAACAATGGGTCAACAGAACCGATAATTTACATTTGAAAAAGTTCCCGTTAGCGTAAGGATGATGACGCTTTGGAAGTATAGAAGAAACATATTTCTTTGGACGATCAGGTTTTATGAAATGCCAAAGGATATCTTCATACAAATCATCAGGAAATATTTTTCTATATGGGGAAACTTTTGTATCGAAATCTTCCGAAGACATATTAAAAAATCGTATAACGGGTAAAAACTTTGATAAAGTTTGCTTCAAATTATTAAAATCTTCATCAGTATAATCATTAAGGTCATCAGGTAAATCTGTATGTTGCATAATCCCCCAAGTAAGTATATGATACCAAATATCTGATTCTTCCATTTGTAATTCATCTTTTTTAATTATGGATAAAAGAATTGATTCATCCAAGTGATAAAAATGAGGAGTTTCAAAAAGCATCCAAGGATTCGTACATATTGTTGATACACAACAATTTTGTAATTCTTTCCAAGTTTCATGTTGAAACGCCGCATTTAACGTTTCTAATGGATGTTCCTTTATCCATGATGCTTGATGTATTGCAAGATATTTTTGAACATGTTCGGAAAGTGTCGGAAGAATCAATTCATCAGAAGCAGACAATAGACCAAGCAAGTGTTGAACATCTTTGTCATCTAACTTTAATTCACTCGAATACATGAATCTAAAAAAATTAAATAAAAATTAAATAATTGTAAGAAATTCGATTCTATTGTTTATAAAAAGAAATTTAAAATTTCTCCGTTGTTTTATTTGTTTGTTTTATTTTATTTACTTGAGAATATCTTCAAATATCGCAGGTGTGACATTTGGTTTTGTTAAGAACATTTTATCGTCCTTCATTTTTCCCCATTGAGCTGACAAAGCAGTATGAAAATAAGGTGTTTGAGTTCGCAAGATTAATGAGTGTGCATAAAATGTTTTTACATCTTCACCACTTCCAACAATTATAGACACATCACAAGTTTCTTCTTCTTCGAGAAGTTTGGCATAATTCTTGGCAACACTCTGCCATAACTTTGTTGATAATTTCATTATGGAATAAAATAATATATATAAAAAAAGAAAAGAAAAAAAAAATTGATATTTTACAAGAAAAAATAGAAAAATTGTAGAGAAAAAAAAAAGGAAAAAAACTATTTGTGTTGCATGTGCGAATAATAATATAACCTCCTATTTATTAGTGTAATCATGATAAGATCATGTTATGTCACACAACTTAAGCCACAAACTAAAATTTGTAAAGTTGTTTGTCTGAATGTTAAAAAAAAATTTTTTTTACATTTAAATAAAAAAAAAGGTGAGAAGGTTTAAATAATCATAATAATAATAATAACCGTTTTCCGACCTGAATATTGATTGGTCAAACGTTAGTCGTCACGTGTAACGCATTCGAACAGTGATCTATGTTGATCACGAATATTTTTTAATACGCCCCTTTTTCATATTGGTAAAGGAAAAAGATAAGGGATAAAATTGTCAGATGTATCTGTTTGAGATATTAAGGATAACCCTTAGGTAAGCACCGGTATTTGGATTTTACGCCATTACGAAAATCCTATTGAGTAATTTACTTTTTAGGTTAATTTCATTTTAACTATTTTTATTACACGTTTCTCTTTATAAGCTCAAGGATGGGATGATGTTTCAATATTATGTAATTTAAACCATCCATGCGGAGGAAGTGCACGGTGATCGGATAATTATTACGACGGAATGTTGTGGTGTGTAATTGTCAAAATTGCATTGGTAAAAAAAAAATACAGCCTTTCTGGAAAATTTTAATCAAAAAAATTTTATTTTCGCATTTGAAGTGACTGTCCTTTTTTGAAGGTAAATTACCACTAAAGAGAAAGAAGTTCCGAATAAATGTGTAAATAACTATTATTATTGATGATTTGAAATTGAATCTCGTTTTGAGATTTACACAGGATACAACATGTGTTATCATGTATTATACAATTGCTTTACGTATATGTACATACATGTTAGTATAATAGCATCCTTTGTTAAATATCAAATAAATATCTATTTGAAACAAAAGAAAATTTAAACAGAATAAGCATAATAAACATTTATTAACCAAGTTAAGGAGGATTGATATTTTACAAGAATACTTTTTTTGGTGGCGGTGTAACATTAAAGGTTTTTTTTTAGAATAAAACTTTAATAATATTTTTTTTTTTTTGTGTGAGCAAATCACGTTGTTATGTACGTGTCGATGAAATTCTAAATAAATACAACAAATTTACTTAATTTGTACCTCCTATAATTCTAATAACCTTTTCACTCATGCTGTAGTAAATAATTACATTGAAAGTTTTGTTAAAAAAATCGTTGGGATTTTTTATTTTTTTTATTTTTTTTTTACTTTTAACTTTTTCACCAACTTTTTTTTAATTCTTAAGAATTTTTCGGTAACGAAAAAAAAAAATTTAAAAAATAAAATAAAAAATAATAAAAATAACAAATTCCTTAGCTTTTTGTTGACAATTCTCTCCAATTTTGTTTTTTTCTCTCGAGTGATTTTTTATCCCGATCAAATGCAAAAATTTATCCGTTCAGTTATACGATGGCGCAGCAAACATCATCTACAAAAAACAAAATTTCAACAATATATCGATATTTTCACAAATATACCGCATGAAATAGTATTGATAATAATAAAACATTTGGATTATAACGCTCACGATATTGCGGCTTTATCCAGTGTAAGATTTTTTCTATATTTTCCAGTTTTTGTAAGTAATGCTTATTTAAATAAATTTTTTTTTTTATTATTATTTTCAAAAATAAAAAAAAACTTGATACGTATAAATAGGTAAACAGAAAATTACGATATCATATTAAAGACAACTTTTTATGGTACAAGTTATGTTTATTGTATTTCCCCGATAATCTATCTAGTGAATATGGACAAACAAAAGATTGGATGAAAATATTTAGGAAATTATGTAAGTGTTTTGTGAATTTTAGGCAAATGTCTAGAATTTCTTTCTTTTCTTTCCTTTTTTTGGTAACATTATTTTGAATTCGGTTAGATTGGAAGAATCACACGATCGTATTTGCCGAAAATATTGAGGAAAAAGAATTAGTAAGTTGCGGATGGTTCCCCAAATTCGGTCAATTCTCGGATATTAAAACGTAAAATTTTTCTTGAATATTGGTACATTCTTGTTTTTTTCTTTAACGATTTTTTTTGTATTCATAAAAAAAATAAAATTACATTTTAGTGATTACGCACATCCAAAAATTGTAAGAGCGATTCAAGAATCTTTTGAAGTAGGTTACATTTTACTTACATCCTTACTTATTTGCACGTAAAATTCAACATTTACCGATCTCTTGTTTCGATAGATGGATGTCAAATTTGAATCTATTTCTCCCGGGATTTATGAAGTTGTATGGGAAATGAACATTTACAATTTACAAAGGGCTCAAAGATTTCAATTTGTAACCAAAATTTTCCAAAAGGTGAATAATGTTCAAATACATAATCTATTTTTTAAACAACATAATTTCCAATCTTAATCTTTTCCATGAACGTTTATTGTGTTAGAATTATGATTTAGTTACAATAAAGGAATATTCTGACACTCCGTCCCCGGAAGCATTTAAAAGAATTTCAGATAAAGGATGGTTTAAATATAGAGCACCCAAAAGGATTATCATCGATAAAGATCAAATCATTTCTACCAAATTCATTGGTCATGCCAAAATGTGTTTTAGCAATCCACAAGAATGGCCTGCCCCTATGGTAAGTACCTTAATGATCGATCATATTTTCTTTTTCGCGAATATGAAGAATGTGTTGAACTAATGAAAGAAAATATCATTTCATTTTAAAACGTTTCAAGGCATTATATTGTGTATATTTGAAAAGATACAAAAATGACAGAGATTATAATAAAGTACTACAACGTAAGAGTTTTATTAATAGATTATTACATAAATAATAATAGAAAATTATAGATATAGATTTATTAGAAAAATAATATAGATTTTATAATAATATTAATAATATAATTGAATTAATGAAATTTTAAGGCATGAATTATTAAGATTTAAGTGGATAAGATTTTTTTATAATGTTGATGATAATGATAATTATAATAAAATTATAAATTTAAAAATTAATTACAATTTCTATTTAACATAATATCGCTCATATATGATTAATTATACATGATAAATTTACTAATCAATCAGCTAGAAGTTTAACAGTTTGGTTAATCTTTTAATACTTTTTGACATTGTTTGGTCTTTTTTAGAGGTCGACAGTGCATCATTTGTACATCTTTGTAAATGTACACAATACAATTCCTAAAAAAAAAAATATTTTTTTTATCAAGTTTACGTTGTTAAAAATCAAAAAACCTGACGAGGAATTTCGAGATACTTACTAAAGATTCAAACCACAAGGAACCTTCATTTTCTTCGAGCGTTGTATATCTTCTAAATTCAGTTTTCACATGTTGTTCGTGTTCTATCACGATTTTATTTGGTACTTTAAAATTACACCAGCCTTTTTTGGACATTTTTTTAAATTCTTCAGGTTTGGGTTTATATGAATACGTCTTTAAAATTTTATTCCAATTCTGAAAAGATAAGTAAAGTTTGAATCCAATTATTAATTATTGAAAGGTGATGTCTAAGAAAATCTCTTACGTGATCTATCACTTTGGTGTTAAATTTAAAATTACAACCCTCATGAATCGTTCCAATTTTCATTTCCCAAATTAGCTCATAAGTTCCCGGATAAATTGATACGAAAACCGCAAATAACTTTTGGATTAAAAGGAATTTGATTAGTTTATCGATGACGAAAAAACATATTTGATTTCTGGATCCTTTTTTTACCTCAAAAAATTCATGATTTGTCTTTATTATTTTTGGATGATTTGCATCGCTGAAAAAAGAAAAAGAAAAGGAAGTTTCGTAAGGGTATTTTAAAAGAAGAAATGATCAATCGAATTAATTATGCATACCTGGTTGATTCATACCAACGATTTGGAATAGCGAAATTTTCTTTCTCGGTAAAAACAAATGTATAATTCTTCCGATCTAAAAAAAAAAGTAAAAGTCTAAATTCCTTTTGTTATTTAAAAACCATTGCATCATAACCTTGAAGTTTTTGATACTTACCAAATTCCTTCCAAATATCCAGCCATTTATAATCTTGTACCAGGGGAGTTCTTTTTTTATCCTTAATTATACCCACCATATACACAGGATATTCTCTCAGACAAACTTCCAACCAAAGCAAATTATCTTGTGCATGATATCTTAACTTTCTATTCGCCTACATTTTCAAAACAAGAAATTAATCATTTTTGTTGAAAAATAATAATAAAAATAATAATAACAAACAATTAACTTGGATGGAAAATAAACAACGCACCATGGATAGGTTTAATAATGAAATTCCATCAAGAAAGTTCATAATAATTAACATGATTTCATGAGGAATTTTCATAAAATTATCCATTTTAATTTCTTTTTGATTTACATTTTTCTCATTTTCTTTTTCGTTACTACGCCATATTGATTGTCGTTTGATTAATTTTTCCATGTTGTGATTAAAAAATAAAAATAAAATAAATGAAATTCTGAGAAGTAATTAAGAATGTTTGGTTTAAAAAAAAAATTTTCGTAAAAAAAGATAATGTTTTATTAAATATTATTTATTACCTTCCTTATTCTAAAAGAATATTTTGATGCGTGAAATGGAGTACAAAATATAAACAAATTATTATGTCAAATAAACCTCATTGTGAACTTATTTAGTACAGGTTGGATCGTCGATTATTTTATCATACTCGTTTTTTTAAAAAAAAATAAAATGAATTTCTCTGTGGTAATTCTCATTCTGGTGATATATTGAGAGATCGTTGTCGGATAATTCTTCTTGTCTAAGGTAAAACTTTTGGTTCATTTAAGCCTAAATAACAAACGATCGAATTTTTTTCAAGTTGAAACTGTAAATTATAATTATCAAAATGAGAGTCAATCATTGCTTAATTACAATGCACACTACTGCAGAATGACAAATTACCAAATGAGATTCGTTTTTTAAAAATATTTAAATAAGATAATTGGTTTATTGACTCGCCATTTTTCTGGTTCAGTTACGAGAATTCAATTACGTAAATATCATTTTCTTGCGTTGTCAAATTGAAAGTTCAAGGTTCGGGTTTATTTAAAAAGAGAAAATATATGTTAAAAAGAAAACAAAAAGGAATAAAAACGTTATAATTAAATTATTTTAATTGAAATTTAAAATTTTGTATATTTTAAAAACTGCAAAATAAACAATTTTGATCGCTATGTTTGGTGTGAAGTGTTTTGTTATTTTTAACATGTCGCAGTATAATTCATATTAATTTGAGAATTCGCGACCTAAATTTATGTCGTTTAGGTTGTCTTTTAAAGAAGGATTAAAATTTTTATTAGGATCATCTTAATTAATTTTTCTCAATTTTTCGGGTGAATAAGTAATTTCTATTATCTTTTTTTTTTAAAGAAAAAAAGGTTACCATTAAATTAAAAATAAATTTTCGAATTAAAATCTTTTATAATGTCTTTTATTAATGGATTAGATACTAATCACCATTTTTCAGTGATTATAATGATTATGAAATTTGCCCGGACAAACCTCTTGGTTAAAAGGAATCGAGGATTATGAGTAAAGATTTCGAAGCTTATCCCAATTATATTTAATCGACAAACAAGAATAAATAATTACTCACTTGTTTCTCGAGATCATCTTTTTTCTTTTGTTTTGTTTATTGTTATGTTCTACTTCTTTACGTTTGCGATTATTGCTGTGTTCTACTTTCTTATGTTCTACTTCTTTACATTTGCGATTAATGTCGTACTTCCGTTGATTCACATCATCCTCTCGAGTTCTAGCTAATATCTCTGGTGCATTGTAACGTGCACGCATAGTATTCAAGGCTCTTTGTTTGATCTTTCATGCGACTGTATTCGAAATTGGTTATCTTTGCTTGATCATATTCCGTAATGACGACATTATCGGGTCTAACATCTTGTCACGTTCTACTTTTTTATGTTCTACTTCTTTACATTTGCAATCATTCCTTATCTTTTTAAGAATTTTTTCATATTTCAATAAAAAATTGTTAGTTTTACATCAATCTTTTCAATAATAATAATAAAAAAAAATTTAATAGCAAAATTTAACAGAGATCTGATTCAGCTATAATTTACACGAGAAATCTTGATAGATAATAGCAATCGGAAACCTGACATTCAGTAAAGTAATAATATATTAAAAGCAACACTTTCTAGATTTGATAAGCTTGCGTGCTCGTTCTATTTCTTCATTACTTTAAGGATGATTTATTAAGTAAACGATAAAATTCTTTATGTATTTTTGTACTATTTGGGTCATTTTTGAAGTTGTTCAACATGAAGCTTGCAAAATCTGGAAGCGACCAGTTACTAGGCTTCGTATGAAATATTCTTCTGTTAAGTTTTCCATGTTTGCATAATTTGGGGTGAGTGCTGCGAAAAGGGATCAAATTGAAAATTTTGTTTGATCCAGAACTTTTTATTTTAAAAAAAAATTTTTTTTTACAATTTGTTCAATTTGTTCCCTTTTCGCAGCACCCATTTGTCGAAAAGAAAGAGAAGAAAATTATTGGACGCGTTTAACAAACTGTTATGTATAATGTTTATACATTTACAAACTTACTATCATGAGAGTGATCAGACTTTTCTTTGTTATCACGTAGTTGGATCAAGCACTGAAAAAAATCTTTCAGCCGCATTTTTTATTTATTACTTACCATGTTTAGTTAAATACATAATGTGATACTAATGATTTTAAAAAAACCTTTTCTTATATGAGAGGTTTGCTAAAAAATGGGGCTCTGAGAATTTTTATTGCATTTAATTGTTGATAATGTTAGATTAAAATGCAATAAAAATTAAAATTTTAATAAAAAATTCTCAGAGCCCCATTTTTATAGCAAACCTCCCATCATTTTTAAAATTCAAAATATTTTAGTTTATTTTATCAAATTACTATGTTTAATAAATTATTTATTAATTTAAATTATATTTACTACTTACATTAATAATTTTTATATGTTATTTTTACTGTTTATAATAATAAGTAAATATTTATTATCTTATATTTTACTTTAATATTTATTTTACTAAATAATTTAAAGACTTAATAAATTTTTTACTTTAAATATAATTTATTATAATTAATTATTTTTTTTTTTTATATTTATTATATATATTTTATTTAAATAAATTTGCATTTATATTTTTAACTTACATATATTATTTTATAAATATAGATTTAAATTAATACTTATTTTTTTATGGGTCAATTAAGTTTTTTTAATCTAATTAATTATAGAATTAATATTAAAATATAATTTATTATTATAAATATATATTATTAATTTTATATATTATGTAAAATTTATAATTTATTTAATATATTATAAATTCAAGTTTTACTATTATATAAAGTTTGTTTTAAATATAAAATAAAATATAATTATTACAATATAATATTTATTTAAATAATTTATATTGGAGTTTAGCAACAGAAAGGGAGGAAATGATAAAAAATTAAAATTTTACTTTATAAGTTAAATAAGTCCAGATTTAACATTATCTTAAAAAAATTTTTTTAGAATTTCCTCCCTTTTATTGCAAAGCTTTCATATAATTTCCTATCTTACTAAATGTTACTTATGTTTACTTTTATCATTATTTTTTTTATATGATTAATTAATTATATTATGACTGAAAATCTTCATGCTATTTATTTCATAATCTTATATTAATAATTAGAAAACTCTAATTTTATTAAAAATTTTATATTAATTGCTTGTATTTATACTAAACTAATACTTGTTAGTTTATTTTATTGAATAATAATTTTACAATTTAATTTCTAATTAACATTATAATTCTATTATTAAAGATATGATTTCTATATAATAGTATTAATCATAAATTTGATATTAGTATTACTATTAATTTTCATCAAAATCTTATGAATTTTACATTTTTTAAATTTCAATTCTTCTTCTTCAGATTTCTTTTCCTTGATTATACTAGTTTTGTCATATTATTGTTCACTTAAAAAGATTAAATCAGATGTCTTTGAAAATTTTATAAAAGTATATTAGTTTTGATAATTGTCCAAAGCGAAGCGGAGGACTATATATGTTTGTGAATGTTAAGTGTAACCATATCATGTGATGAAGTCCGTTTGTCTGCACGCGTCACATTACTGAAATTTTGTGCTACACTGATAAACAAATCTGTGATAAACATAAGATAAAAGTGTTACATAATGTGTTACATGAAAGTGTAACATGAAAGTGTTACAGTACATGATATGATATAATTATTGTTAATGTTCCGATCACGTGATACCGATACTTTTATTAATATATTTTTTTTACATATTTATTGTGTTACATTCAATCAAGTTCGAAATTCTAATCTACAAAAATACTTCGCTCTAGACTCACAATGGTTTCCGTTTCCTAGTATAGTAACTTTAAATAAAAAATTTAACATATTTTATTTATTAATACAATAAATGAATTTTTCAATGCTAAAAAGATTAAAAATTGGCATAATATAAATAATTTTTAATAATAAAATTTAAATACATATAAAAACATACCTTTTTTTTTGTAAGAATTAAAAGAGAAGCATTATCTCTTTTACATTTAATAGATTGATATTGATAGGCTAATATACTGTATATACTATTATTTTATATTGAAAAAATATTATTTATTCATCAAATTTAATATAAGGTTCTACAAAATTGTAAATACCTATTAATTGTATTGAATAATTGATAATATTTTAATCTTTAAAATCTAATCCTGCAGTATTATATATATTATATATAATTTTATCATATGAATACTTTCCTAATTTTATTGTTAAATACTATTTACCATAATATATATTTTTAGAAGTATTAATTGAAATGAAAAAAACAATTTTTTTCAATATTTTAGGATGTCTAAATAGGTATTTTTTAATATCTATAATAGAAGTATAAATATTTTAAAGTATTAGTTAATATAAAACTAATACTAGATGCAGTATATTAATCTTTAATTCCTTCTGTATATTTGTTTCTTTAAGTAATTCAAGTTATATTTTACTATTATCTATTTCACTTACCTAAAAAGTTTTTAATATTTTAATATCACTACTTTTAGATAGCATAATAAAATTAATCAAATTTATACTCTTTGTAAAAGTCCTTTAGGAATTTCAGTTGTAATAGCTTTTAAAATAAGTATAAATTTAATTTCATTAATTTCTAAAGGATCTGATTGCTTACGTTTTTTATTTCCTTAATTAGTAATTAATTTCATTGAGCTATTTAAAACTCTATATAAATTTTTAAATTGGAGATTATTA